GTATTCCAAGAGATCCCCCTACATATTTACTTTTGGGACTACGGGACGGTATCCTGTGAGATCCCCTACACATTTACTTTTGGGACTACGAGACGGTATCTCGGGAGATCCCCCGTTGTTTTTTTTGTACACTGTACTGTTATGTTTCTGTGATTTCCTTCTTGTTAAATTTTAGTCTTTTATTATACTGCGATATTTCTTTTTGTCTTATATATATAAAAAAAATAAGAAGGTCAGGTCTAACCTCGGTCGAGTAGTGACGGTCAGGTCATCTTGATTTACATATATATATATATATATATATATATATATATATATATATATATATATATATATATATATATACACACACACACACATACCAGTAGGGCCCTGACCTGACCTCGTCACTACTCGACCGAGGTTAGGCTTGGCACTTACTAGGTACCGTTGTGGTGTACTCATGCTACTCTTCTGCACATATTTTCATGTGTAGATCCAGGTACTTCTTACCAGCCACGTCATCAGTGAGCAGCGACAGTTGGATACTTCAAAGTATATCTGCCGCGTCCGCGGACCTCGGAGTCCCCTCTATTCTCCCTTATGTCCATTATCTTCTGTACTTCTTTTGTTAGACTCTGATGTATAGAGACACTAGTTTTTCCTTCTGTAGTTTGTGACTATGATGTTTCGGGTTTTGGGAAGACTGCGTACATGCCGAGCGGCATGGTTATCAGTTATGTTATTGTTGTTGCAGTTAGTTGTGTACTCCTGTTCCTGTTATTTCTGGAATTGTTTAGGCTTACCTAGTCGTAGAGACTATGTGCCGTCACGACGTCTTACGGAGGGTAAATTGGACCGTGACAAGTTGGTTGTCATATTATATTATCATTTTCTATTCCCAATTTAGGTCTTATTGTCGTTTCTTTTCGGTATACGATAGTTTTTGCCCCAAAACTATTTTTTTTAAATTTCTTTTCTTTGTTGACTTTATTGCTGGCTTCTTGATTTAGTTTTTTTTATTTTTTTATTTTTTCTGTATCTATTTATTATAGCTAATAATAGAATATATCAGCTTCTAAAAGATTCCAAGCCCTTCTTGAATTTTTATATTGTTTAATTTGATATAAATAGCGTCAAATATTTCCAAGTGTAACCAATAATGCTATTATATTATTTTTTTTCAAATATAAAAAGAGTATTACAGTTGTAACTTGTGACAAGAGTTTTTTTTAATGATAATATTAATTGTAATTTTCTCATTTAACTCATTTTACTATCGTGTTCAAATAGTTGTGCACTTATACTATGTGTTCGATAGTAATTTTATGTTAAAAAAAAGGGTGAAGCACCCACAACCTCAATATTCTGGATCCGCCATTATTAAGTACATATTATATTATCATGTTATATTTCTAGTTCAGGTCTTATTGTTGTTTCTTTTCAGCATACGATAGTTTTTGCCCCTAAACTAGTTCTTTTTAATTTGTTTTCTTTATAGACTTTATTGTTGGCTTCTTGGTTAAGTTTTTTTTTCTTCTTTCTTTTTTTCCTGTATCTAATTATTATAGCAAATAATAGAAAAATTAGCTTTTAAAAGACTCCAAGCCCTTCTCGAATTTTTACATGGTTGGTTAATTTGATAGTAAGAACATAAGATATTTAATAATAAATAGTACTTGATCAGTGGAATAGAGAGAGAGTGTAGTGAGAGAAACACCGGCGATCGTCGAGCAAGGTAGCTAGCCTCGCCGATCAAAATGACTCACCGTAATCACCTTGATCTCCCTACACAATCACCTCTTCCAATTGACACTATGAATAGATTAATTACACCAGAAAGTGGTATTCCCCATAAATTAGACCCAATGCAACTGTTACATTGGTTACCAGGCATGGGGAGTACCCCTACTGTCATGCAAGCACCACCGGAAATGGAGAAGGATGAATCGCAAGCGATGGAACCAGGAATTCTTACAGCAGCGCGAAAATTAACCTACTCAGCTGGGTCTCAAAGTACAAAGCGGACCATGACAGAGGTAGTGAAAGGCAACAAAGCTCAAGCACAAGGTATGCAACTGAAGTTCTACCCTCCGGTAGTGAAGGATGGAGTAAAAATGGCAAAGTTAAACCCAAAGGAGCTAGAACAACAATGCCAGCGATGGAAAACAGCTTTGATTGGATACGTTCTAGGCGGAAATCCGTCGTTCAAGGAGATGCTCAGATTTGTATATGGCGTATGGAATCTAGTCGCGACACCAACAATACTTCTGCATGATGACAGGTATTTCATTTTTAGATTTGAATCTGTAGAGGACAAAAACTTAATTGTGCAAAATGGCCCTTATACCTTCAATAGCAGACCTATGGTATTAAAGGATTGGGATCCGGATTTTCAGATCCAGAATGAATCTATGAGGATAGTTCCTGTATGGGCCAATCTACCTGGGCTGCCTGTTCAGTGTTGGGATGAGGGAACCTAGGTAGGATTGCTAGTTTGTTAGGCAAACCTACCTGCACTGATAAACATACAGCAGAATGTTAAAGAATTTCATATGCTAGAATACTTGTTGAAATGGACATCACACAGCCATTACCAGATGAAATTCTCATAGAAAAGCCTGATGGAAGGAGCTGGATGCAGAGAGTAGATTTCGAATGAAAACCAAAATTTTGTTTGGATTGCAACAAATTTGGGCATGGTACTGGTGAGTGCCAACAAGCAACACAGTAGGACGAGAAACCAAAACAACATAAAAGAAGAAGAAAGAAGAGAACAAAAATGGAATGGAAACATAAAGTAACAGATGTAGGAAACAATAGTACTACGATTTAGCCTCAGGAGGCACCTACGCCAACAGGAGACAGCAGTAGAGATACAGGTGACTAATAGAGGAAAACAGGCAGTGGTTATTCAAGGATCAGCTGGCAAAATAAAGCATAAGGAGATTAATTATGATGAACTAACTAGAAGAAATACATTTGCTCCCTTGACAATACTGGAAAGGCCATCAAATGAAAATCAGCAGGGACAATCCTCTAGTAATGCAGAAGCCCAAAGGGCAAATGAATGCAATCCCATTAATCATAATCCTCCATGATTGTTGTGTCCTGGAATATAAGTGGACTGAATAAGTCCTATAAGCAACGAGAACTCAAAAAGTTCTTGTTGACAAATAAGGTAGATATGATAGCTTATCTAGAGACTAGAGTTAAACAACAAAGCAATTTAGAGGAAGATGGGTGCTGATTGGCAGTTCAAAGACGACTATGCTTATGCACCTAATGGTAGAATCTGGATAGGTTGGAAAGTAGCAAATGTCCAAGTAATAGTACTGGATGGCTCAGATCAGCTAATACACTGCCTAGTTAAGGGTAAGAATTCATCGTTCACCAACTACATAACCTTTGTGTATGGATTACATACTGTTCAACACAGAATTCCACTCTGGGGAAGCTTGAGGAACATGCAGAGTAATGGACCTTGGCTTATAATAGGAGATTTTAATAGTGTGCAACATGTGGATGACAGAGTGAATGGAATTCCAGTACATCAAACAGAAATGATTGACTTCAGAGTTGTCTTGATGATATAGGAGTGGGACAAATCACAAAAAGAGGATGCAAATTCTCATGGAGCAATAAGAGGGATGTAGAGATCAGAATTTATAGTCATATAGACTGGCTTTTGGGAATGTTGATTGGTTCAATGAGTATAATGGGGTAGAGGCCATCTACATGCTACCAGGTTGCTCAGGTCACACTCCTATAATGATAACTACTGATGTTGTTAAGGTAAAAGTGAAAAGGCCTTTTAGGCTACTATCTACAGTGATGCAACTACAAGAGTATAAAGAAGTAGTTCAGGCTACTTGGAGTCAGCAGATTCAAGGTCATACAATGTATTCAATTTGGAGGAAGTTGAAGTTAGTAGAGCTACAAACTAGGGGCCTTCAGCAGGAACACTCCTCAGTAAATCAAAAGCTAATTCAACTGAGAGACACATTGAAGGAGGTGCAGGGGAAGCTCAACGAAGACTATTTCAACAATTTACTGATTGAAGAGGAAAGGAAAACCTTGTCACTTATAGAAAAATGGGAAGCAATTCAGGAACAAATACTGAGGCAGAAATCAAGGGCCACATGGATCAAACTATGGGACTGCAACACTAAATATTTCCATGCTTATATGAGACAAGCAAAAAACAAGGTTAGCTGCATCTATAATGAACAACAGATAAAGATCACTGAGCCTAAGCAGATACAGAAGGAATATACTAAGTTCTTTCAACAATTACTGGGTAAAGCAACAAATGAGTTGCCAGGAATTGATGTCAATATAGCAAGAAATGGTTCTTGTCTAACCCTAAATCAGCAACAGCAACTGTTACAGCTTGTAACACCAGAGGAAATAAATCAGATTGTGCTAAGTCTCCCCAGCGACAAGGCACCTGGTATTGATGGCTACCCTACTGAATTCTTTAGAGAATTTTGGCCAATCATTGGAGGGGAAGTCATAGAAGCAATACAAAAATTCTTTGAAAATGGCATACTACTGAAAGAAATTAACTGCACAACAGTTACTTTGATTCCCAAGGTTCAGAATCCTACTCATGTGAAGGAGTTTAGGCCTATTGCTTGTTGTTCTACACTGTACAAGATCATTGCTAAGGTACTTACAGCTAGGCTTAAATTAGTTGTTGATTTATTGGTAGGGCCTTCACAATCTGCCTTCATAGAGGAGAGAAACATCATTGACAATGTTATAATGGCTCATGAACTGATTAAAGGTTACACTCAAAAGACTGTTTCTCCTAGATGCATGATCAAGGTAGATATCAGAAAAGCATATGACTCAGTCGAATAGAGTTTCTTGAAGTCAATACTGCTTGAGTTTGGGATACCATATAATATGGTAACATTAATCATGGAGTGTGTAACTACTGTTAGTTATACATTACTATTGAATGGTGGACTAACTGATAAATTTGAAGCAAGGAAGGGGCTAAGACAGGGGGACCCATGTCTCCATATTTGTTTGTGCTGGCAATGGAGTACCTGAACAGATCTTTGAAGACACTCACTCAGAATCCTGACTTTAACTTCCGTCCTAAATGTGCAAGATTACAAGTCCTACACATCTGCTTTGCAGATGATCTACTGATGTGTTGTAGAGCAGATGAAGTATCCATGAAGCTAATGATGGGAGCTTTTGATCAATTTTCTACTGTTTCTGGGCTACCAGCAAATCTGGAAAAGAGTTCATTATATATAGTAAGAGTGCCTATGGACTTCAAAGATAAAATGCTAGCAGAGTTACATTTAACAGTAGGCAATCTACCATTCAAATACTTGGGAGTTCCTTTATTCCACAAAGAAACTCACTATTCACCAATGCATGCCACTAGTTGAGGAGATTATTGAAAGGATCAAAAGCTGGACATCAAAGTTCCTGTCATATGCTGGAAGATTACAACTTATTAAGAGTGTCCTATTTGAAATGCAGACCTACTGGGCACAGGTATTCCTTATCCCAAAGAAAGTCATTAAGCTTGTCAATAGTATCTGCAGAAGCTACTTGTGGACTGGAAGACATGACAATGCTCACAGAGCTCCTATTGCTTGGGAAACACTGTGCAAACCAAGAGCTGTTGGGGGTCAAAATATTATCAATTATGAGATATGGAATAAGGAGGCGTTGACTAAACTATTATGGGCTATAATGGCAAAGAAGGATAAGTTTTGGATTAAATGGATCCACAGTCAGTACATAAAGCAGAAGGATATTACTACCATGGATGCTCCAAAGCAGGCTAGCTAGAGTCCTTTGCACTGAATGGAAAATTCAGTATTAAGAAGGCCTATCTACATGCTCTTCCAAGGTATCCTAAATCCCAATGGAAATCACTGGTCATGTTGACTGGAATTCTACCAAAACATCAATTCATTTTATGGATGGCAATACAAAAAAGGCTGGCTACTGTTGACAGATTGACAAAGTGGGAATTCAGGTGCCTCAATCATGTGTATTGTGTGAAAGAGATAAAGAAGAAACACATGATCACTTATTTTTTGAATGTCCATACTCCCAAAGCTTATGGAAAGTAATGCTAGCATGGCTAAGATATCAAAGAAGTGTTGCAAACTGGGAAGCTGAGGTGAAGTGGTTAGCTGCCAATGCTAACAATAGTAACCCAAGGAAGACAATCCTAGGAGTGGTGTTTGCAGCAGCAGTGTACCATATCTAGATGGAACGCAATGACAGAAGATTTCAGAACCAGAAAAGAGAGGCTAAAGACAGAGCCAAAGACATTACCATCCAAGTGCACATAATAGGGCAACAAAAATGTAAATGGAAACCTGTATTGGTTACATTGAATAGTTATCCTAATGTCACGACCCTAAAACCGACCCGGTCGTGATGGCACCTATCGTGGAATAGAAAGCTGTTTTGACAGCAACTAGTGCAATCGCAGAGCTGAATTTGGAAGCTTATATCTCGAAATCAAAAAGGAATCTGAAAATTTGCAAAACATAAAAGTTGTTACCCTTGCAGTCTAGTTTCCAGAAAGTTAAACCATTAATGATTTGCACATTTTATCAGAAAGTTATGATCGGTTGAATATGGCTGGTGGAGCAGTTTCGACAGAATTTTCTGATGCATGGAGCCGACTTTAGAAGCTCATAACTCGGAATATATAAAGAGTTATATGGTGTGAAATCTATCAAATGAAAGATCTTCGAGTCTAGTTTCTAAATTTTCAAACCGTTTGTCATTTGGATATTTTCACAAGGAGTTATTGGCATTTTAACAGAAGGCGTACAGCAGGGGGAAATTGTAATAGGATGTACAACCTGCACAGCGCAAGGTACAACTCGATGAAGCCTGGGCAGATTGTTTTAAACACGAGTTTTGGCCCATTTCTTTCATTTCTTTCATTTGGCTTGGACGATTTTGGAGAGCTCAAAGAGGGATTTTCACCAAGCAACACTAGGTAAGTGATTTCTTCCTATTTTTTAGTTAAATATGTGATCTTACATGGATTTAGACATGGAAAATTAGTATAAATTTGGGATTTTTGGGGAAGACCTAGAATTTGGAATTTTGAACTTTTACCTTGAATTTGAGCATGAAAATTAGAGCAAATTGTATATTTGAGTTAGTAAAGCTATGGGTAGAATTTATCTTCGAGAAATTTCGGAATCCGGGCACGTGGGCTCGAGGGTATTTTGGTCAACTTTTCGAGCGGAGTTGGGAACTTATATAATTTGATTTGTTACAAGTATTAGAGTGAATTTTTATTGGTTTGCCGTTTTTTGAATAGTTTTGGGCCGTTGTGCATCAATTGGAGTCGTTGGAAGGGCTTGGAAGCCGGTTATGGAAATTTCGGAGCGAGGTGAGTCTCCTTTCTAACCTTGTAAGAGGGAATTGTCCCCATAGGTAAAATAATTGGTTATGTGCTCCTATTTGTGGGGCTACGTATGCACGAGGTGACGAGAGTCCGTGCGTAGCTACTAATATGTGTAAGTCCTGGTAGTCTAGGACCCAAAAGCATGCTATACTTGGGATATCTGTATTTTTATTGATAGTTGAATTTCTTAAATCCTATCGAATTGGTAAATGAATTTCTAAGAGGATTAAACTTCATTTTCTTAAATCGTTAAAAGGGAATTGGCTTTTAATTGGATAAATGTTCCCAGATAAATTCTTAATTTGCTGTTTGAGCATGTATTTCTATGTGTACTTGCGTCGCATGTATGATTCGCGAGTAGGGTGATTGTCTATTTAAATTTGACCGTGTCGCATGTATGATTCATGAGCGGGGTAATAGATGCATCTATGGTTCGCGCAGTTCGACCCTCGGCAGTGCGCATTTTACATTTTATGTTGGATCGGGCCGTACGACCTCGGCATGAGTTGCGCATGTTTGTATTGCCTGCCTTGAGATTTATTGATACTGATATCTGTGTGAGCACGTGGTTTTTGCCCTATATGAATTACTCCCATAAAATATCAGAAAATAATTTTTCCCAATTTTTGCAATTTGATAGGATTTTTGTTAATTATTTGCATTTTTTGTGCATATTTAATTTCCATTAAAAATCAAAAATACAAAAAATATCATGCATTGCATTTAGAGTTTGTGTTCACATTTTAGGATTAGATAATTAATTAATTGCTTTATTAAACAAAAAGAAAATTACAAAAATGGCTCATTTTTACATTCTTAGCTTTTAATTTTGGATTATTAAGTTTTCTCTTTAAATTTAGGATCAATTAATTCTTGAAAATATTATAGTTAGATAATTAGCTTAATTTTACAATTGAAATTAATTTAGAAATTTAATTTAGGTTTTTAATTAACTAAAGAAAGAAAAAAAAAACAAAAAGGGAAGGAAATTGAAAAGCTTGGTCTTAAATTCGAAATTGGGCCATGTGATGAGTGAGCCCAAATCTTTCAAAACCCATTCTTCACTTAAACTAGCCCATCTCCTTACCCAGCCTAAACCGGGTCGACCCGACCCAACACCCAAGACCCGGATCCTTATTCTTCTTAAAGACCTAGACTATACAAATTAAACCCTAGACTCTAATAGAGAGGAGAGCGCCGCGATACACAGTAGACGACCCCACCTCCTTGATTTCATCTTCTCCAGGAGACCCATCCCCTTCTATCTCCTTGAACAGACAAAAATGAACGCCTACAATGGCTGAAGAGAACACAAAATAACGCTCAGAAATCTGAAAGACGAATCAGCCGATACACAAGACCCCCCCCCCTGAAAACATTGTCTTCTTCTCAGCCATTTTCATGGCTTCTCAAGCAATAAAACAATGATGATCTCTGACCAGAACCAGGCGATTCCAACAGCCAACACACCCCATCTCTGAAAGCACCTCTGAAATTCCAACAAACCCACCCTAGCGACAACCAGTTTCAGCTACTAGACACGTCGGAAGACGACCCCTAACACAACAGAACGCTACTGCCTCTGTTTTTTTTTTTCTTTCCCATTCACGATAGCCCCCAGAACCAGGCCGCTATTCTGCTCTCAAAAAATCACGCGCACACACGCAAACAGTTTTACGTCGAGGTTGATTTGAGGTCGTCGCTGTCCGTTCGAGGCTCAGTTCCCTGTTCGAGGTTGCGATTCCGATCCAGATGCCTAGCCTATAGCTCACTTGAATGCTTTGCTGTCCTAGAGCTTTATTTTCATTGTATTTGCTCCAGAATTTCAATAATATAAGGTCAGTCCTTCCGTTTGGTTTTTTCTGTCTGCTGCTTTCGTTCTCATGACTAGTTTGTTAATTTGTAAATGTTTGTAACTTGGAATGATATCTTGTTGCATACTAATTGTTTGAGCTATATGCAAGCATTTCCGATCTATTTTATTATATGGGATTGAGATTGTCTTTAACTAATTTTGTGATTTTAAGGGCTGGGCTGAGTTTTGCTTTTTGAACAATGTTAGTTCTATGTTCTAGCTGTTTGATGTAGAAGTGGTCGATAGGGATAAAATATTTGAATCTCGCTGAATGTCGCATTAATCTGCCTCGTCNCAATTTCGGGTGTTCCAACTACTTTCGTCTTTGGGCGTTTCTCATCATGTTTGCCTCTTTTCGCTCACGATGATTGCACGCAGAAATTGATTTTGTGTCATCCTTTTGAACATGTCGATTGTTTTGTAATAGTGACTGTAGTTTTTTAGTCTTCGACATTGATTGTAATTCCCCCAATTGGAAAAGTGTTCATTTTTTATAAAGTTATGGGATCTCTCTGTTGTTTGGATTTGTGAATTGTTTCTCCACATAGTCATTGTGGTCATAAGTTTAGTAAATCATAAGATGAGATAGGTGCATTGAGTTGGCACTATTTAAAAGCAGGTTGTGAATAAGCATGAATCTCACAGTTTGCTTACTCTCGTAATAAGATTATCGCGGCAACGGGTACGGTTCCCGTGACGTAGTTGTGGTATTAAATTTCGAATTAGCTTTAAATATGAATATCTTTAATTCGTTTAGTTGAGTAGATTCGAAGTGCGCCGTGCCAAACAAAAATGACAATCGCATGGCCCTCGTTTAATTAATCTTTTAAATTCTTAGAATTCGAGGCGTGCCATTTAGCAAATTTTCATGGCCCTCGCAAAGTTAAAAACGCGTAGTTGCTTAGGCGCGTTGTTTTAATAATTCACCTTCCTAAACTCGGGTGCACATTTATGTGACCCAAATCCAAATCTCAACGAAGTCGAAATGTGTCAAAAATCGTGGGTGCATTTATGTGACGCGGTTCGAGACATGTTTTCACGATGTTGCAATTCTCTTAAAATAATAATAATAAAAGCGGTTCAAAGTTAAAAACACATAGGTCAAAACATGTACTAATATCAGATATTTAGCCGAATACGACAGTTGAGCGAGCGTGCTAGAACCACGGAACCCGGGAATGCATAACACCTTCTCCCGGGTTAACAAAATTCCTTACTCGAATTTCTGGTCGCGGACTGTTAAACAGAGTCATTCTTTTCCTCGATTCGGGATTCAGTCGGTGACTTGGGACACCATAAATCTCCCAAGTGGAGACTCCGAATTTTAATAATAAATCCCGTTCCGATTGTCCTTTAAGTGAAAAAACTCATTTACGCCCTTGCGGGTGTAGTGAAAAAGGAGGTGTGACAATCTGCTCTCCCCAACTTGAGATAATTGTTAATTAATGGATTATGAATCCGGAGACTTTTAATAAAAAGGAACTTTTACCTGTTTCGTGACTCATTTGAATTTACTGTCGTTCTTAATAAATCTGTGATTCATCGCATTAATAA